TACTTCTATACTTGATTTATGATGGACGCGGTCCTGACAAAACCATCAATATTGTTTAGTGAAAAGTAAATTGTCTTTAAATTTTTAATACACTATTTTTGTGGTACCTAAATTTAACTTTTTTTAATCGCAATACATAAATTTGTTTAAGATCTATAAAAAAACATATGATATATTATACTAGTTTTTCTATGAAAATTATAAATAATAAGTATTAATAGAAGTTAATTAGTGTAAATTTGTAATGATGTATTCAATTTATAGGTTATATAACTTTTTTCTTTTTTGATATAAAAAAGTCTGTAAATGTTAATAGAAGTCAATGAATATAATGTTTGTAATATAAGACTTTTATGAACCTTTATAAAGTTTATGAAAATATAGAAGTATTTTACGAAAATCGTTTAAAAAAAAATTACAATTCTCTTAACTAAATGCCTCCGGTTACAAGAAATGTCTAACAAGCTAGGACCGCGTATGATCTCAATGTATCCATATCCACATCTTCTCCCTTAAAATATTTATGGTTACTATTCGAAAATTAATCTAGAAGACTATATTCTCAAGTTATTATATTCCTTACCTTGGTCAAGATTTACTTAGATGATCCACCTAATTAGATATTCCCCTGCAGAAATCCAGCAGGAACGTATCAATTATTGTGTGGACCACGGTTCAAAATGACATCTTTAAATTTTATGAGTTTTTTTTTTGGATGCTACTGACTCTATTACATTGTAATGTATCTGTCAACGCCTCCACTAAGGCTCAATCTCATGATCTCCCACATGAAAGAGGTCATTACATGTCATTTAAGCACAAGGTGCTTGACGTATATTATGTATTTAGAATAATGAAACTTATAAGATAAGATAATATACTTTATGAGTTAGAATAATCTACATTATACTTTAGAATAATGTACATTATGAGTTATAAAAATGTATGTTGCAGTGGATTGTGTGAATTTTTTTTTACGTAAAACGACGTCATTTTTGTACCGTAATTCACACAGCTGTGTGGATCACGCCCACGCAATAAGTATTGCATGCATGCACCCTAAGCTATGACCAACCCGCCCTCCGTAGACATGACATCCGACTTGCTAACAGTTTTTGCATGGAGTGCTTGAGGGCAGCCTTCATCACTAAGATTTTTCATCTTCACATTAAATTCACAAGCCTATAACCTTGTACAAAAACTTAAAACTTCAAAAATGTTAAAGCTACACTTGAAAATTTAACTAAAAGACTTATATATATTATTCTCAATTCATTATATTCCTTACCTTGATCAAGATTTACAAGTTGTTCCACCCATTTTATTCCACTCCTAAAGCTCATGAATATATCCCTTACATGCACTCTGCCACTCTGCGACCTGAACATATAATATATAAAACATAAATGTGTCATCAATAATTAAGTTAGACTTTTATTTGACACATAACACATCTTTTAATTTGGTATCACATAAAAAAAAAAAAATTATAGTTCAAAACTTAGAGCCTATAAACAAGTAATTAGTATACATAAGTTATGCAATTCAACTATTAATTTATACTTAATTGAGATAAAACACATTTTTTAATTTGACCAACCCTCAATAAGCGACTTTTGACACTTTGGTAAGAGTGGCGACATGCATGCTGACATTCTTCAAGGAATCCTTGAGCACGCAGAGCCTTCACTAAGCTAAGACCTTGGAGTTGAATTCCATCCACCTTTACATTATTAAACTAAACACACATATATTTGACAAATCTAAGACTTCCTAAAGGAACTTTAAAGTTCAGCAGTAGTAAAGGTACACTTGATGCTTTGATAGCCAATATGGTAGCAATAAAAATAAAATGGGACATATATAACACATTGGTTTAACTAGAGAATCATTTGCCAAGCATCTTGTGCTCAGATGACATGCATGTAGTAACATCACTCATGTGAGAGGTTATGAGGTCAAGCCTCACTGGAGGCGTTGTTGACTCTTTATCCTTCATTAGGTTAAGAAAGTATGTTTGAACAGATACTACAATGTAATAGAGTCCGTAGCATTCAAGAAAAAACTAGAGAATCATTTTAATGGTTTCAATAATTTAATTCTCTATACTAATTATTTTAGTTATAATTCATAATTCCCTTACAAAGTCACGAATTTGATTTTTTTTAAAAAGTGTAAATCTTCTTCAATATATGCTTACTTTGAGCATTGTTCTTTAGAATTTTAAGTACAATTGACTTGATCCGATTTTGATTTTAGCTATAAATTTCTTTTTATTAACTAAAAGAATATACCATTGTTTAGTCTTAGTTATCTTTTTCATTAAATTCAATTGCAATACATAATATTATGTCAAACAATGTAATCAATATTCTTAATAATTTCTTTTCACCAAACAAACAATGTAATCAATATTAATCTCAATAATTTTGTTCATGTAATTTAAATTTCATTCTTCCTCAATTATTTTCACGAACCAAATAGGCCGTAATCGTATATATATACTAAAAAAATAAAAGAAGAATATAAAAACTACTATATTAGAGTTAAAGTAAGAAGTACTCCGTAAGAATTATTTTTTACTCTAATTTTTTCAATTAAATCTCTAAAATACATTTTCGTTTATGAATCATGTATTCAAAATTTTTTTTAACAAATTTAAATTGTGTTGGGAAAATGGTCAAATAAGCCCTCCAACTTGAACGAAACTAAGAAGTCAATTAAGCACCTAAACTTTTTAAAGAAGCAATTAAACTCATCAACATTGCATTTTGACGTAATATAGTCCAAAAATTTGTTAGTGACGTGCTATCACAGGTTACTAGGGTTCCGGTCAACAATCCGACCAACTCCGGTAATATTCTAGGCAATAAAGTGACCAACGGCCAACTCCGATGATATTTCTGGTTAATCAACGGTGGAAATGGACGAGAAGGCAACCACTGGGTTGCCTTCTCCAGTGTTCTGCCTTCTCATTGAGAAGGCAACCACTGCGCGCCTTCTCCGGTGAGAGGGCAACCCACTGGGTCGCCTTCTCACCGAAGAAGGCGCCCAGTGGTTGCCTTCTCACCGGAGAAGGCAACCCTTCTCACCACTGGGTCGCCTTCTCCGGCGAGAAGTTGACCCAGATCTGGGTTGCCTTCTCTGGTTGAGAAGGCGCCCACTGTGGTCGGTTTCTCGCTGGAGAAGGCGACCCAGTGAGCACCTTCTCTACGGAGAAGGCGACTTCTCCGGTTGCCGGTCATTTTTTGTCTGAAATTGTGTCGGAAGGTGGCTGAATCTCGAATAATATGTGATAGCAGGTCATTTATCGATTTTTGGATTTAATTGCACCAAAATGCAATGTTGATTAGTTTAATTGCTCTTTTAAAAAGTTTAAGTGCCTAATTAACTTCTTAGGTAAAGTTGGAGGGCCTATTTGATCTTTTTTTCTAATTTTGTTTAAATGACAAGAAAATGTTTTAAAGCAGTTTGGGAGATTTTCTAAAAACTTTTGAGAGAATAATATGTTAAGCATATTGTAGTCTGATGACTTTGTTATTACTTTTCATAAGAAACATTACATATTCGAGAACATATTAAGAAGTTAGAGTGTACTAAAAAAAAGTGTTGGAAATGTAAAATTTGAGCATTATAGCCACATTGACGATGAATCCTATTACCTAGTTCCGATTGGTATCTCATATCATGATATGAAGCCTCTAGCGCTAGCTAGACCAAACAGGTAATGGATTTAGTCAATTAAAATATTAAAACTTAACGTTGCTATCTTCTTAAAGTTAGAGTACATTGCACAAAGTGGAAGGCTGCTATGCTAGCGTCAACAAAAGTTTTTAAAAAAAAAAACAATTATATTCATTTTTATCTTGACAAAATTTGACTGACGCTGCACTTTCGGCCGTTAAAATAATAAAAACCTTGGAGATATATCTTACACAAACTGTCATTTATGACTAATTAATGGCAGCTAATTACCAGCTGGAAAGGCCATCATTTTATCAATTATTATTTACTATTTGTTATTTGTCCACTTTGTTTTGCTTAAACTAACTCTTCTCTTAAACTAACTCTTTCATCTAAGAAACTGCACTACTGCACTCACTGATTAGGGTTTAAAAAAAAAAAAAAAAAAATCTTGTTAGAACTTTAACCTTGCAATTGTTAGAATATTTTGAACTCAGAGTTTTATGGCATCACGTTTTCCCAAGACTAACCAAATTTTATGGCAACATTTACTCACCTATAATAATCCACGTCTAAACGTTAACAGTTAATGACCAAAATCCCTTTAATTTTTCTTATATAAAAACACTTTTTTTTTTTTAAAAACAAAATTAACACTCTTAATTTACTAATTACATGCTGATCTCGAGTATATAAGCATGTTTTCTTGCCTTAACTCATTTTCATAATATACTTTGCAAAACTTATGTTAATTTTTTTGTTACTTTCTAAGTTATAAGTTTGATTATTGTCAACACTTTCTTGATTATCGAACCCATCGCACATATATTCTAGTGCAATTTATCTCTCACGTGTAATTTATTAACCATTATATAAGAGTAAGGTACGTTTACCCCATACATACCATCAAATAGTGATTTCCTTGTCTCCAAAAAAAAAAAAAATCATTATTTATCATGCATATTGATCTTAATTATCTATGTTTGCATCCTTATTTTTGCTTTTAATATGTGTGTGTTAAGTTCAAGCTCCTCTGCAATCTTTTTAAGTCCTAATCAAGAGTCATTATTGATTAACCATTCATATCATTGATTTCTAATCTAAAAATATAATAAGTGTGATTGAAGGTTATACCGATGAATGAACAATTCTCGTTAATTCAGAATAGACTGTTACAGAGATAGATAATAGATAGAGAACTAATCTAACTAACCCTGTACAATAGCTAAAGGTTACAAGACTAATTCAAACACTATAAGTCTAAGTCTAATGTTACAATAACTGTATCAATAATATAATATGACTAACACACCCCCTCAAGCTGAAGGTGGTAACGAGACAACATTTAGCTTGTCCCGCAAAGAAGCGAAGCGTGTAGATGCAAGAGGTATGGTGAAGATGTCGGCGAGCTGATCTTTGGTTGACACAAAGTTAACTAAGAACTCCCCCGAAGAAACCTTGTCTCGAACAAAATGGTAATCGATCTCGACATGTTTTGTCCGAGCGTGAAAAACTAGATTGGCGCACATGTATGTTGCCCCTAAGTTGTCACACCATAGTGTGGCAGGTGATCCGGAGTGCAAACCGAGTTCCCGTAGGAGAGACATAACCCATGTGACCTCAGCAGCCACATCTGCCAGACCCTTGTACTCTGCCTCAGTGGACGATCTGGCGACGGTGCGTTGCTTCCGTGATACCCATGATACAAGGTTCGTGCCCAAAAAAACTGCATACCTGCTAGTGGACTTCCTGTCAACCGGACATCCTGCCTAGTCAGAATCTGAGTAAGCGTGTACTGTGGATGATGACGAAGCAGTTAGCCGTAGACCATAAGTTAATGTACCCCTGACATATCGGAGTACCCGCTTGAGCATACCCCAGTGCTCCTCAGTTGGCGCATGCATGAACTGACATAGTCTGTTTACAGCAAAAGACAGGTCCGGCCGAGTGATAGTGAGATACTGGAGTGCCCCAGCTAGCCTACGATATTGCGTAGGGTTCTCATAAGGAGCTGTAGACGGTGAGGCGGCTTTAGTGATTGCCGCTGGTGTAGAGAGAGATTTGCAGTCCACCATGCCAGCACGAGTCAGAATGTCATCCATGTACCGACGCTGCGAAAGTAATAAGCCCCCATCAATAGGTACTGTCTCAATGCCAAGAAAGAAGGTCGGAGTACCCAAATCTCTAATCTTGAAAACCGCCGAGGGACGGGCTAACAACGTGGTTAGTAGGGCGGAATCATTTCCCATCATGATGATATCATCTACATAAACCAGTAGATAGACACGAGAGGTTTGTACTGTATAATAAAAGAGAGAAACATCAGTTTTAGACGCCACAAAGCCTGTAGACAGGAGAAATTCATGTAACCGATGAAACCAGGCCCTGGGAGCTTGCTTGAGACCATACAGGGACCGCTGTAGGTGACACACGTAATCTGGGTGTACCGGGTCTTCATACCCAGGTGGTTGCCGCATGAAAACAGTCTCCGTGAGCTACCCATTTAAGAAGGCATTGTGGACATCTAGCTGCCGCAGTGTCCACCCACGAGAGACGGCAAGGGAAAGCAAAATGCGCACTGTAGTCGGCTTGACGACCGGGCTAAAGGTCTCAAAAAAGTCCTCGCCGGCTACCTGATTGAACCCCTTGGCTACCAAGCGGGCTTTATACCGGTCAACCGTCCCGTCAGCCTTACGTTTTGTACGAAAGACCCACTTGCACCCTACTACATTCATGCCAGGTTTGGCCGGGGTGAGATTCCAGGTGTTGTTGTGTAGGAGAGCATTGAACTCCTGATCCATGGCATCCCGCCAGTGTGGGTGTCCAACTGCCTGACTGTAGCATGTAGGATCTGCGGTGGCCGTGAGAGCTTGAAAAGGCTCCTCCGTACCCCGTGTCATGTGGCGAAGACGCATGACATGCCCCCTTTCTTGGGGCTGCGCCCGAACACGTACCCGAGCCCGTCGTGCACGAACTGGGACCGTGGCAGCACCTTGATGATCCTGAATAGCCAAAGGCGGTACATGCACTGCTATAGGTGGTTCATCAAGCGGAACCGGGGGTGGTTCACGAGGCACTATGGGGCCTGATGCCCACGGCGTGACATTATGTGAGTCAGTTGACTCCACTTTGCTTTGTGCACCTGTTGCATAGGGGAAAACATTTTCATCAAATCGAACATGGCGACAGATGAAGGTTTTTCCAGATATTAAATCCATGCACCGATAACCCCTATAGGACGTTGGGTAACCTAAGAAGACGCAGGGTGCGGAGCGGTACTCCATCTTATGGCGATTATACGGCCGTAGATAGGGATAACACTTGCACCCGAAGACTCGAAGAAAGTTATATGGTGGTGTTTTGTGAAAGACGGACTCATAGGGACTGACATTTTTAATTGCAGAGGATGGTAGGCAATTAATTAGAAAAGAAGCAGTTTAGAACGCATATGCCCAGTGTTGTATGGGTACTGAGCTTTCTGTGAGTAGTGCTAGCCCGGTTTCAACAACATGTCTGTTAGTGTTGTATGGGTACTGAGCTTTCTGCGAGTAGTGCTAGCCTGGTTTCAACAACATGTCTGTTCCGGCGCTCTACTCGGCCATTCTGCTCATGCGTATAGGCACAAGACTGCCTATGCACAATCCCAAGACTTTCAAAGGTTGTGTGTAAACAGCGATATTCACCTCCTAAATCATATTGAACAGACTTGATAGAACGCGAGAATTGGCGTTCTACCATGACTCTAAATGACTCGAATATTTTATAAATGTCTGATTTTAACCGCATCGGGTAAAACCAGCAAAAACGGGTACAGTCATCAACAAATAGAACAAAATAGCGAAATCCATCGGCTGAAACAACGGGGGTCGGTCCCCAGATATCGGTGTACAATAAATCAAGAATATTATTACTACGCGAATTAACCCTATCTAACGGGAATCGAGAGGATTTCCCGAGTTGACACGACGAACATATCTTCGTAGCACTTGTTTTGGACGGGGTGACCGGACAATTGATTAAGACACGACGCTGAGCACGCTCATGCGGATGGCCAAGCCTGCGGTGCCATACATCCGGTGTGGCACGAGCGGTTATTAACGCAACTGGTGACCGAGACAACGACAAACGGTAGAGACCCCCCGTGGTAGGACCTCTAAGAAGCACCGCCTTGGTTCGACAATCCTTCACAAGAAAATGATCACAATGAAACTCCAAAAATACGTTATTGTCAACGGTAAACCGATTAACAGACAATAAATGTAATGATAGATTAGGCACATGTAAAATAGTGTTTAATTTTAACGGCCTAGACACGGAATTTAACGATGCATGGCCAATATCAGAAATACCCAAACCTGAACCGTTTCCCACCCGGAGCACATCACCACCCGTGTATGGCTCGGAGTGGGTGAGCATTGTCGGATCGGGCGTGGCGTGCGAGGAGGCACCGGTGTCTGGGTACCAAGCCTCGGCTGTTACGGACCCGTCATCACCGGCAACTGCAGCGTGAACCTGAGCCGGCGCCTGGCCGGCATACCACTGATGGCAGTACACTGCCGTATGACCTTGGGAGCGGCAGATTTGTCAGCGGGGAACACCTCCGCGGCCTCTGCCATTGTTGCGCCCGCGTCCACCACCTCGGCCCCGCCCTCGGCCGGAACCCGCATGCCGAGAGCCACCGCTCGGATGGTGGTTCTGTCCACGTCCGACTGCCATGGCCGCATGATGAGACCCGCCGGGAATTGCAGCACCACCAGCGAATTCATCTGCCCAGATGAATTCCTGAGCTTGAAGGAAATCCGACAACTGTGGAATAGAAACCGGTGTGCCCGACGCCGCCAAGGATGACGCCATGGATCTGAACTCCGGTCTGAGGCCCCGGAAAACATACAGATTTTGCTCGTCCAGCGACACGGGTCTGCCGGCGAGCGCCAAGTCCTCTACCAACAACTGAGCTCTCCCAAGATATTCGACCGGGGAGCTGTCACCTTGGCGGAGTGACTGGAATTGAGCGAGAAGATTCAAGCACCGAGCCCGTGTTGAAGAACCAAGCGCCGCTGTAACCGAGGTCCAGACCTCGTGCGATGTACTGCGCCCAACTGCCAGGTAGAGAACTTCGTCGGCCATGGAGGATATCAACAGCGACAGAATTGATTGGTCCTGTTGCTCCCATGCCGCGTGCGCTGGGTTGGGCGTCGTCGTCGAGGCCGTGCCTCCCGAGCCATCGCCACTCGTTGCCGGAGTAGTAACCGTGGCCGGTGGACACGGGGTGTCGCCGGTCACGAACCCGAGCAAGCCTTGTCCTCTCAGGAATGGCACCAATTGAGTGCGCCAGAATAGGTAGTTTTTGGTGGTGAGCTTCATCGACACAAAATGGTGTGTCGTGGACAGGGTATTTGGGGTGGCCGGAGAAGGGAGGGTGGCAGCGGTCACGGTTCTTTCACTGGAATTCGATGACATGATGTCGTAAAAAAAAAAGGAGAGAGAAAAAAAAGGAGATCACACCTAGCTAGCTGATACCAGATGAATGAACAATTCTCGTTAATTCAGAATAGACTGTTACAGAGATAGATAATAGATAGAGAACTAATCTAACTAACCCTGTACAATAGCTAAAGGTTACAAGACTAATTCAAACACTATAAGTCTAAGTCTAATGTTACAATAACTGTATCAATAATATAATATGACTAACAATACCATTTATTTATGTCCCGTTTTTTCATTAAGTTTTTTTTTTTTTTTAAACATTATGCTATAAAAGTTGTACTTTATAATATTTTGGACAAATATATCCCTACCGTTATAACTCCCCTTATCTTTTCCACTATTGTTACTATGCACATGCATCCACCATATATTTTCTTATCTTCTTCAATAATAATAAGGGAAAATGGCATTTTTTTCCCACTGAGTTATATACTTATAGCACTTTTCCCCGCCTCAATTATTTAGGTAAGCACATTAGCCCATTCAATTATTCTAAAAGTGGTGGTTTTTTCCCCTAATATATTAAATTGACATTTATACCCTTAAAATAAACATTTTATTTATTTTACTTCTCCAACAAATTATTGCGTATACGTAGGGATGACCACGATTCGGTTCGAACTGAATCGGACACTATAGCAATCAAATTAAAAGTTTCCGGTTATGATTCAGATCTAGAATCCAATATTTGGATTTCAATTTATTAAAATTATGAATCAAAAAAAAATTGGATCCTGAACCGTGAACCGACGATTCCTGACCCGATTCGCGATTTTGAACCGTTTTTATTTTAAAATTTTATTTTTATTTTAAAATAGTCTAAATTCAACAATAAATGTATTTTATTTTTTCCAGTTCGGAACATGAACCGTCCGTTCTTGGATTTTAATAAACTCTAAATATCGAGTTTCGATTCTAAATTGTAATTGGAATATTTCGATTTGGTTGCTATAGTGTTTATTTGGTTTGAACCAAATTATGGTCATAATTTGTTGGAGAAGAAAAATAAATAAAATATTTATTTTAATGGTAAATATGTCCATTTAACATTTTAGGGGGGAAAACAGCCACTTGAATAATTGAGGGGGGAAAAGTGCTATAAGTATATAACTCAGGGGGAAAAAGTGTCATTTTCCCTAATAATAATAATATTTATACATTATAATTTGGAGTTATTTTATACGATATAAATATCAAATGTATAAAAATGTTTACATCATCATCATCATCATCATCATCATCATTATTATTATTATTATTATTATTATTATTATTATTATTATTATTATTTATAATAATTTAAATATAAAAAATCTTAATATAAAATAATAATATTAGGTGATAATTTAAACATCAAAAATTTTAATATAAAATAATAATATTGGGCACCTAATTTTTGCGCATAGCGCATAAGAAAATACTAGTATTCATATAAGTATGATTACATATTTACTCATGATAATCCGAGGAGCGTGGTTGAGTGGAACGGACACATCCATCCTTACTGAACAAATTATGGAATATACCCAAAATATATATATATATATATATATATATATATATATATATATATATATATATATATATATATATATATATATATATTTACTGAACAAATTATTATGCACGCTTCACAAAAGTATATTGAACATAAATTATATCATATTAACTTTATTTTTATATTGTATATACCATGTTAAAAGATTAATTTTTTCTTGATGAAACTTTAAAATTCTTTTTATTTATTTTTTTCATTACTCAACAATTTAAATTTCAAAGACTAAAGAGAAATGCATCCTTGCTGTTGGTCTTTGTTTGATGAATGAATTTAAACACATAAACATATATAGAATGGCAACCATGTATGAGCATGACCCACTATAAGAAAATTCAAATTTATTAACTGAATTTTTCGTTAGTAAATTACTAAAATATGTAGGTATTTAATTTACTAATAGATTTTTGTTGGTACAATATTGAAATTTGTAGGTTTAAGTTGTAATTATTTAATTCATTATTAAATTAAATCTATTAGTTTTTCGTTATTTTCTTGTAATAGACATGTTGGTGATAATGAACCAAAAATCGATTTAATATCGTAAAATAATATTTATATATACACACACACGAAAGTATATAAAATATTATTCGATATATATATATATATATATATATATATATATATATATATATATATATATATATATATATATATATATATATATGTATCAGACCACCATGGTTATATGCATGAATATCTACAGAAAAGATATATACATATCAACCAAATGGAATTTATAATCCACAGATTATAATTCCAACCAAACTATATCAGAAAATGGGGATTTTTGCTTAGAAGCATAATCTAAAACCTAAAGAAGGAAAAGACGGCTCGTGTTTGGGTAAGGGTTTTTGGCGTGAGTCAAGAGACCACTCTTTCCTTAAAACCTTATTTGCCACCTCCCAAAAGTGTTAGGAGCGTCGTGGCCTAGGTTTCTCAGGATAAAACGCGCTACGGTTCGACGTTTGAGCACCCAAACGAACGAACCCGGTGAACTAAAGCAAAGCCTTGAACACAGTTAGGCTAAAGAAATAAGTAGAAGCAGAAGGATTTTGAAGCTGAAAAATATATTTTCTAGTTGTGTGCTTGTACACTGTGTTGTTAAAACCTTCTGCCCTCTACCCCTTCTTATATAGGGGAGGAGTATTAATAGCATTGATCATGGCCATTAAACTTGGCTATGTAACATCTGAAACAGCAAGCCATTTAAATTCAAAATTAAACTTGAAATTAATTGAGAATTTAATCCCACTTTTGTCCGGTGGCATTCAGCCATGACCGAATTGTCAATGTTTCGGCCCTAGGCCGAAACTAGACTGGCTTAGTTTCGGTCTGGGGCCGAAACATTGCTGCTCAAATTTGGCTGCACAGGCCGAAACTATAGTCCAGTTCGACCTGGACCGAGCTCGTCTCGGTCTTGGCCGAACCCAAGTGGCTAGTGTGTTGGAAAAAATGATACCGAAAGTTGGCATAACTTATGCCAATTGGACGACATTCGTGCCCGCACACACGAGCTCGGGCTTGAATCAAGCCTTTTTGATCTCGTAAGGCCAGTCAATTTTCGGACAACACTCGTGTCCACCACCCCCCCCCCCCCCCTCCCCCAAGTGGCCGAACCCAAGTGGCTAGTGTGTTGGAAAAAATGATACCGAAAGTTGGCATAACTTATGCCAATTGGACGACATTCGTGCCCGCACACACGAGCTCGGGCTTGAATCAAGCCTTTTTGATCTCGTAAGGCCAGTCAATTTTCGGACAACACTCGTATCCACCGCCCCCCCCCCCCCCCCCATTGGACGACATTCGTGCCCGCACACACGAGCTCGGGCTTGAATCAAGCCTTTTTGATCTCGTAAGGCCAGTCAATTTTCGGACAACACTCGTGTCCACCACCCCCCCCCCCCCCCTCCCCCAAGTGGCCGAACCCAAGTGGCTAGTGTGTTGGAAAAAATGATACCGAAAGTTGGCATAACTTATGCCAATTGGACGACATTCGTGCCCGCACACACGAGCTCGGGCTTGAATCAAGCCTTTTTGATCTCGTAAGGCCAGTCAATTTTCGGACAACACTCGTATCCACTGCCCCCCCCCCCACGCGCGCGCGCGAGAAAGAGCCTCTATGCTATACAATTCTACAAGTTCCAAAAGAGCCCTTGTATAAAAAGGGGGTCAAATCTTCTTTCCAAACCAATGTGGGACAAATGCTCACCTTTTTCCTTCATTTTTCCAACTCAAATGGGTCTACTTTGAGAATCAATATTTCATTCACCCATTATCCGTTTTGAGTGTACAATATATCAATCTTTTAGTCTCACTACGAAAAACCCGAATCCACTTTGACCCGACCCAAATCGAAAGTGGACCCCACTGATAATTGTACCACAAAATAGCCACTTAAAATGTCATTTTAATGTTATTTTTCCAACAAGACGAACATGTTTATGAACTATACAGGCTTATTCTCAAAAGCATCTGTCACTCTTGGTGGACATGGAGTATTTGAGTTTTGTGTAAGTTAAGAAAATCACAACATAGTTCACATACATGATACACCTATCTTAATCCAAATAATTAGGTATGAGAATGTGACAATGTGTTATTGGATTTTTTGGTTTAATTTTTTAAATTTTCATCTGCAACTCAATCCATTCACTAACCACATTGGAGTAGTAGGGAAAATGATTCATAAAAAGTATAGGCCGGTCGGTTGGGCTGTCGTGCACTTGAGAAAATGATTCATCTCATTTATGCAAGACATTGATGATCCTTTGACCATATCTCTTATTTAGAAAGTGCAAAAAGCTTAAGGCAGCTCGATCAATTATTCCTCTAGACCCTAGACATAAGAATTTTTATTTTTAAAAAGCTTTTTTTTTTTCCCATCTTTTTCACGTATTGATAAATATAAATTTATGTCCATAAGAACTTAGCTCACTTGTTTAGTAGGCAGTATTTAGAAGAATAGATCAAGGTTCGAAACTCGGTAGTGGCATTTCGGCATATGTCCACTGTCTTGAAAGAGGTAGTTGAGTAGGTGAAACATGATTCTAATTCCTAAAGATCATGAGTTCAATTGTTGTCAATAACTTATTGGCCAAGCACGTCGCACAAAATTTTTCTAGTGTGGTTTACTTCTCTTGTGTGATTTGTGAACTATTACACAAGAGTGAGATTTACTAATGACTGCGTATTTCCCTCGTCACTCTAAAATAAATAAATAAATATTTCTGCTACAACATTTGACCACAATATCTCACAAAGAAGGACCAACAACCTTTATAATTTTTATTTAAAAAAAAACATATAAAAGGTAACAAGATGTTCAAACTATTGATTTAATAACCATAAAGTTTCAAGTTCAACTCTCAATAGAAACAGTCTATTGACCTTCTTGGTTTGAGCAAGTCAT